AGATGTCTTCAAAGATGTTATCTAAATTATGATTCTGAATTTTTTGTGGTACAATAAACATTAGGTTAAATACTCAAAAAAATGTAAGTACATATTTTTCTTTTATTTTATAATTGTATACTTCAATTTTTGTTAAAAAAATTAATACACTATTTTCAGAAATTGCTGAGATAATTATTGTCCATATGTTTTAATGTTAATTATATTCTATGTAACATATTTTAAAGTATCTGAATTTAATAATGCAGTCAAAAGTCGTTAATCCGGACTCGTCGGGACTTCGGCGATTCCGGATTATAGATCATTAGTTTAAATCTGGTAAGATGGCATGCAGAAATTACAAAATTAAAAATATGAAACCGTAATTTATGAAATAAAGAACAATTATGATCTAAAGGGTAACAAAATTTACAAAACAAAAAGCTTAATATTTATTTGTTTACTTTATTAAACATTTCTTTCAATGTAAGTTGTTTAAGTTGCTTCATTTCATGTGATAATACTTTCTATTTAATTCTATTAAACAGACATAATTTCTTGTTTAGTTACAAAGTTCCGCTGTTTAAGTCCTATAATTGCTGTGTCGAGAATACCGACTAATTTGTCAATCGAAATGTTTTCGTTTTCAATAACCTCTGTCACTTTCTTCACTATCGGAAGCGAATTATAATGACGAGGAACTTGATTTAAATCATATCAAAGACGGTGTATATCCAGATGAAATACTAAATTCAGTAAGGAATTATAAGCCAAATAAAATAAAAACATCTGCCCTGAAGATAAGGATAGTGCTGACAGATCAACTCCCAATTCATTGCGCGCCGCCACATTTCTGTCCCCCCCCCCTGCCGCAGAGCAGCGTGAAATTGATAAACAGATTTCTGATTTCAAAACATACTTTCGCTTTGTAGATCTTTTACATATTAGTAAATATATATCGGAAATTCTATTTGACATAATCGAACGTTCAAGCTTACTTTTATAAAATTACTCTAACAGTCTGCAAAAAATAATAAGCCGGATCCAATTTGAAGATTAAGGAACAACGCAATCTGCAACATTAACTGAATTAGATAATTTTAGCTTAGTTTATACCGTCCGTTATACATTAAACGCGCATGCGTAAACGTATTCTGCGCTTGCGCACACCCATATTCGCTGCCGTAAAGGTCTTACGCGCAGGCGTAAATGCCTATGCGCATGCGTCAAAGCGACGCATGCGCAGAAAGTTTCTAACTTTGAGGTCCGGATTATAGATCATTCCGGATTATGGGTGTCCGAATTAACGACTTTAGACTGTATTCTAATTCTTTTAAATGTTGGTAGGATGGTTTTTAATTCGATATTCAATTTCAGTAATATTTTAATCTAATTAAACGTTGGCCCAATGTTTTTATAGCAGTGTTTTTATTCTCTTCTTTGCTATATGAAAGTAATAATAACCTAACTTTAGTATTTTATACTCATAGTAAATGTATTTATTTACACTTGCCTGCCATCTTAGAAAACGACATTTTCAACAAAAAATTAATCCATTACTTTTAACAATATTTATTTATTTATTTATTATTATTATTTTATTTTTTTTTTTTAAGTTTCGAAAAACTATGCGTAAAAACAGCGTTTTTCAAGATGGCTGACGTTTGTAAAAATCGCGCCAACAATTGCGCCAATGTAAATCGCCAAAAATCCGTGCAACCATCTACCAAAGTAGCACCGGGAACATAAGTTAATGGCTATTTATCTGTTTTTACCTCACATTTTGAAAAAAAAAAAAAAAGAAAGAAAGTTTAAGACATGCTTTCTGCTTCCAGTGGAGTATTTTCAAACTTGGCATGAAGTCGCATTAATGAGCATAATATACAGCATTACTTAAAAATAGATTAAAAAACTGTGATACAATAAGAAAAATTATAAACAATTTAAATTTTTATATAGTACATCCACAACTTGAATCTGTTGGGTAAAAGTATATTTACGGGTGCCCCTTGCTGAAAAGTGGCAATTTTTGGAGGTGCAAGGATATTGAGTTTGTACAATTCTTTGATTTGTTATTTTGACTTTGTGTAGCAGCGATTTTAGTGCCAAAAGTCGCCGCAACACAAAGACAAAATAATAAGTCAAAGAATTGCACAAACTTGGTATCCATGTACACACTGACCTATTTTCACTTTAAAGAAACATCACAGAGTTCCACAAACAAGGCATTGCGCACTCCCTTTATTTTATCCATGTACACGTCAACCTACTTTCACTTAAAAAACATCAGAGGATTGCACACTCCCTTGACTTTGTCCATGTACGCATCGATATATTTTCACTTAAAATGTCAACGGAGCACCCAATTCTAGGCAAAAGTATATTTACGGAACATTCAACTACTCAGGTTACCATAAATGAAACAACGGCTGATCTTTGGAATATGTTAACAGGTAGTTTGGCGACATTTTGGAGGTGATAAAGGTTACTACCTAGGACTTTGGGAATAATGTGAGAAGTACTCAGTTCGGATTACGCATTATTTTGTGTGAGGGAAATGAGAGATCATGAGATATGTCATGTGACATTAATGGACAAATCACTGTTCTTTAATCGGAAAAGGGGGTCTATTTGTAAAAATATCTGCTGTACTTTATAGCAGTAGTTTCATTCTATGTTCTGTGAAACAGTGTTGTTTAATATTTGGATCCCATGGCCGTATATAAAGTAAATCCGAAATTTTTATTGCGTTTATGTGTAATTGAAAAGAATTGCTTAACTGTGGATAAGTATGAATGTCCAATATGTGGGAATGAAATGAGATTGTGTGAAAGGAAGGATATTACAGATAGTTTGAATGGCAGTGCAAGAAACCTGGTGAAAATGGACATTTTGTGATCCGCCATGCACTCAAGATTTTGTAGAAGATTAGGTAAGTTAGTATTTTTAATTATTTAAGGATATTATTTTTATGCATTGTTCTAAATGTAAGGAGTAAATAAATTAATATGGTATTATTGGAAAATTGTTATTAGCAATGATTTAGTTTAAAGTAATTAGGATTGTAAGCTAATTTTTATTAATTTAATGTATGTGCTTATTTATATTTTAAGTAGTGTTTTTTAATTTAATGATCGTGATTTTGAGAGTTATATGTTTGTAGTATTTTGGAATACGTTTGAGTAGAAGTAAATGTGCATGGAAAGAATTTAAGTATTTGACAAAGTATTTGTAAAGTATTTGTTTTGTTATAAATTCGTTGGTGACATTTATAATAGATAATTTAGAGGTAAAAGTTTTTGGATATTTTATTTATTTTATATGTGCAAATGTCCATCCTTGGAAAAGGTATATACTTTTTCGCGATCAGGTAATTTCATATATGTCCTTTTTACCGAATTTAAAGATTCACAAAATTTTCATGAAATTTTTCTAATTTATGAGAAAAAAGCAGTGTACATGGATATAGTGAAGAGTGTGCGCAATGCCATTTTTGTGCAATTCTGGGATGTTTTTTTAAGTAAAAATAAGTCGACGTGTACATGGTTTAATTATATTTTAATTAAATGATAGTTATTTTGTGAATTATATGTTTGTAGCAATTTGGTATACGTTTCAGTGGAAGTAAACGTGCATGGAAATAATTTAAATATTTGACACTAAGTATTTGTAACCATTTTTAATGTTTGTTATGAATTCGTTGGTGACGTTTATAATAGATAATTTAGAGGTAAAAGTTTTTGGATATTTTATTTATATTATACGTGGAAATGTTCATCCTTGGATAGGGTATATACTTTTTCGCGATCAGGTAATTTCATATATGTGCTTTTTACCGAGTTTAAAGATTCACAAAATTTTCCTGCAAATTTTTGTAATTTATGAGAAAATAGCAGTGTAGATGGATAAAGTCAAGAGTGTGCGCAATGCCATTTTTGTGCAATTCTGGGATGTTTTTTTAAGTAAAAATAAGTCGACGTGTACATGGTTACTGTGTATGTATGATTTTGAAAAACACCGCAAGGAGTTTGCGATTCTGCACTTTTTCTCAATTTTGCAGTTAATATTTGTCATGATTAAGCAGTTTTGTTCCATAAAATTTCTAGCATAAGTGTAATTCGGCTAGCAGATTGTTGGAAAAAGTGTTGAGTAAATAAAAAGAAAAGAAACATGTCTTTACTTCGTGAAGACAAAATGGTGGAAAAAAAAAATAGGGGGTTGCTGTAGCAGAGTTGGTCGCCAAATTTTCGCCAAAAAAATCACCAAGTTACCATAATCCAAAGATCAACCGAAACAACAACTTGGCGATAAACAAAACAACAACTTGGCGATAAATGAAATAATAACTTCGCGATAATACAAGGGGTATCCTTCAGTCTACTCTAACCACCTGTTGATTACCTAATCAAAGAAAGAGTAATTCATTTCTTCAAACTTCTACTAGTATGGTTGGCACAAATTTATTAACTTTCTGGTCTGCCAGCTTTCACAAACAAAATTTCATAAACTGTTAAAGTTTTTTTACTTTTATATGTTTAAAGCCTATGAAAATATGTTGGTTTTTATGTCTGAAATGCATTTTTTTTTTTTAATCTTATGTAATTTTAAATGTAAGTTTTTGATAACAAATAAAGTTACTGTTTTCATGATTTTAGACCTGAAATTTCCTTCCATTCATTTGGCTTTTCTATTGTGAATTGCATTTTCGATATGCTTAACTATCTAAAATTTTCACATAACCAGCATTTAGCATTTCCTGAGCTTTCCAGATAGCTGAGCTTTTATTGTACGCTATTAAAATAATTAAAAAAAATGTAGATTTAATTTTAATTTAAACTTTTATTAATATTTTCCCCATATATTCCCCAAATGTCATAACAGAAGAATATTCAAATTAAATATTTCATATTATGAATATAACTACCCATGATATGGGCAGCTGAAAGAATTCACAGAAATAACTATTTTTAAAGTTTTCAGAGACTGCATAAGATTTTAAGTTATGATATAATGTAACAAACCTTTGCTGAAAATCTTCCCTTTCACTACTGCTACACATGATACCCAAGGAACCTGGAGAAGTAAGACTGCTTTCCAATGAGCTGGGGGTTTCAGCTTTGGGAATAGTAGCAGACATTGTTCACTGCTGAATCAGATGCGATTCATCTGTACCATAAAGTACAAAACATGATATAAAATGATGAAAAAATAATCTATAACAATGTATGATCAATATGAATAGATAACATACAACACTAAAAACACAGGAATCTTGCAAGGAAAAATACTAAAAACCCATACACATTTTTTCATGTTGAGTCTAAATAAAAATCACTAGCATAAATTATACATTAGCTCATAACTGAACTGATATTTTATACATTTTAATTGGTTGAAATGCTAAATTTTTAAAATGTAGAACATTATATATATATATATAAACTATACCAAACTACTCTAAATAAGCCTACATTTTTAGTGCAGAAGGGTAACAACTGAATATTAGGTTCTTTTCCATCATACAACAGCACATGCCAATTTTCCACAGAAAGATATATGTAATAACATTGGCTTCTGCCCACTGTTAAATTAAATATGTTGCTTTTATAGCTTATAAGAGTGTTCTTCTTTTCAAAGCAGTGCCATTTACAAGTTTTTAAAGAGTATCATTATATTACATTCTCTGTTTATTTAAGTAAATAACCTAATAAATATACTGCTAATATTCAAACCATAGTTGAAATCAGTCAATGAATAAAGTATGTGGGGATGTTTCCTGACTAGAAGTATTATGTTTGTGAATATATCTTTCTAGAGAAAATTGTTTAGATTGTTAAGACAAAATAACACGCCGAATAAATACTAATTCAGAAGTCAAACAACAAAAATCAGCGTTATACCTACAAAATTTTCACAGGACTAGTTTCGATGGTTTTACCGAACCATCATCTTCAGCTGCAAAACCGCAAATGAACAAGATAGGAAATAATGATTAGATAAGATAAGAAAGCCTGGACAAGAATAAGCAAGTGGCGCCATCTGTTGGCGAAACCAGAACTAAAACATAATTTCTCTAAAAGCCGAAGGCAAATTTGGATTGGAATTAGGATCGTTAACTAGAACAGAAAGATTTTTATGAATGTGAAATGCCTCTAGAAAATCCAGTTCTCCAATGGAAGATGTTTTTTGAATAATTTTGGCAGCAGAAAAATTGAAAGTGTTGATATTCGGACCAACAATGTTGAGCAACAGAAGACTTCTGTGTTTCCTTTTTTCTAACATATGCCTCATGTTCTTTGACGCGAAATTTTAAGGCTCTCTTAGTTTGGCCAATGTAAATTAAACCACACTGGCAAGGAATCCTATAAATACCCCAGGAATTCATATCCGGAATGGGGTCCTTGAGTATAGAAGTTGGAATTTTATTGATGGGAGAATAAACAACCCGAAAGTTAAATTTCTGCAAAATATGTGCAACTTTATAGCTAATTGATGGAAAGAAGGGAATGACAACAGAATTTTTATAATCTCCTAAAATAAGAGTGTGGCTTTTAGTGTGTTGAGATGAGAATTTTTTAACTGCTTGATTAATAATGTTGGGTGAAAAGCCCCTGTCAATAGCTATTGCTTTTAAATAATTTAGTTCTTCATCAAGGGCTAGTTTGGAGGAGCAAACTTGAAGAGCACGGAAAACATAGGAATAAAATGAAGCTAACTTTTGTTTAGTCGGATGACATGATTTAAAGTGTGGTGGAAGGCCAAACCGATGAAGGTTTACGGTAAACTGTAGTACTGAAGTTGGATGTGTTACGTGTGACCAGAATGTCGAGAAACGGAAGAGAATTGCAAGTCTCAAGTTCAAAAGTGAACTGAATAGCAGGATCAATAGAATTCATTGTTGAAAGAACTTTATTTAAATCATCTTTATTACCTTCAAAAACAGGATAAAATATCGTCTACGTAGCGGAACCATGCCGGGAAGTTTAAAGTTTCAAACAATTTTGATTCATAATAATGCATGTAGATATCAGCCAGGATGGGACTGAGGGGGGGGCTTCCCATGGCTAATCCCTCAGTTTGCTTGTAATATTTATTTTGGAAAACAAAATGTGTTTGTTTCAAACAGAGTTGAGTGAGAGAAATTAGCTCATCAATTTCGATGCAAGAGAAATGAAATTCGCGAAGTCTGGTTTCTAGACATCTTAATGCACCCTCCACTGGGACATTGGTGAATAATGATTTTACATCAAAAGAAACCATGAGTAAATTACTAGGAGAAATGTTTTTAACCAAAATGTTTGGAGAAATGTTTAGCAAACTGAGGGATTAGCCATGGGAAGCCCCCTCAGTCCCATCCTGGCTGATATCTACATGCATTATTATGAATCAAAATTGTTTGAAACTTTAAACTTCCCGGCATGGTTCCGCTACGTAGACGATACTTTTACCCTGTTTGAAGGTAATAAAGATGATTTAAATAAAGTTCTTTCAACAATGAATTCTATTGATCCTGCTATTCAGTTCACTTTTGAACTTGAGACTTGCAATTCTCTTCCGTTTCTCGACATTCTGGTCACACGTAACACATCCAACTTCAGTACTACAGTTTACCGTAAACCTTCATCGGTTTGCCTTCCACCACACTTTAAATCATGTCATCCGACTAAACAAAAGTTAGCTTCATTTTATTCCTATGTTTTCCGTGCTCTTCAAGTTTGCTCCTCCAAACTAGCCCTTGATGAAGAACTAAATTATTTAAAAGCAATAGCTATTGACAGGGGCTTTTCACCCAACATTATTAATCAAGCAGTTAAAAAATTCTCATCTCAACACACTAAAAGCCACACTCTTATTTTAGGAGATTATAAAAATTCTGTTGTCATTCCCTTCTTTCCATCAATTAGCTATAAAGTTGCACATATTTTGCAGAAGTTTAACTTTCGGGTTGTTTATTCTCCCATCAATAAAATTCCAACTTCTATACTCAAGGACCCCATTCCGGATATGAATTCCTGGGGTATTTATAGGATTCCTTGCCAGTGTGGTTTAATTTACATTGGCCAAACTAGAGAGCCTTAAAATTTCGCGTCAAAGAACATGAGGTCATATGTTAGAAAAAAGGAAACACAGAAGTCTTCTGTTGCTCAACATTGTTGGTCCGAAAATCACACTTTCAATTTTTTCTGCTGCCAAAATTATTCAAAAAACATCTTCCATTGGAGAACTGGATTTTCTAGAGGCATTTCACATTCATAAAAATCTTTCTGTTCTAGTTAACGATCCCAATTCCAATCCAAATTTGCCTTTCTAAGGCGTTTTTTAGAGAAATTCTAATAACGTTAAAGGAATTACGTTTTAGTTCTGGTTTCGCCAACAGATGGCGCCACTTGCTTATTCTTGTCCAGGCTTTCTTATCTTATCTAATCATTATTCCTATCTTGTTCATTTGCGGTTTTGCAGCTGAAGATGATGGTTCGGTAAAAAAACCATCGAAACTAGTCCTGTGAAAATTTTGTAGGTATAACGCTGATTTTTGTTGTTTGACTTCTGAATTAGTGTTTAGATTGTGTTATCCTAAAATTAAAAATATCCAAATATTAAAATACAGCTTCTAGTAGAAAACAATATGGATATCTTATACAAAAAAAAAAAAAAAAAAAAAAAAAAAAAAAACTCACAAGAATTCAGTAAGTTAGCTTCTGAATCAGAATTACCTAAATGCATACTTATAAAAAGAATACTCAAGATTCAATTCTTCTTTTTTTAGACTTTACACTAGTCTTAGTCCTCATAGAAGGTTATCTAATAAACATTTACATTTAAAAATAAATAAATAAATAAAATGTTCCTACTTAGCAAAATGAGAAAAATAATAAATTCATTAACTACACATTTAATCTGATTGAATTATAGCTGCCAACCTTTAAATAAAAAAAAGTAAGAGGTTCTTGCATGAAAACTGTTAGGCAATGTTTTTCATATTATGCAGCAATGCAATTAAGAAAAAAAAACTCCAAATTGACTTAAATTCACTTTATAATACATGATTCATTTTACTGAATTATTTATCATGTGGTTCTGATATAAAATATATTAGTTAAGTTCTTGGTCTAATTTCATCTTGTGATTTTCTTTCACTTTTATCTCGAGACAATCACAGGTAGGGAAGAAAAGTTTTTACTAATCAAAGTACTTTTAATTATGATGAAAATAAAATTAGCAATTAAATGTACATATTATTGCATGAATAAATTTAATAATGTGACATTTACTGATGTCACACAAAATTAAATACAAATATTAAATGACTAAGCAATTCAAAATTTCTACGAATGTCTACAGAAGATTAACACAATTCAGTTCTCTTTGCACAGGAGTTTACTTGAGAGTCACTCATGTAATAGGTTTTAATGACATCACCAAATGAGTGATGGATATATCACAGTGATACTTAAGACATATAAGATTGTTTTATAAATTCTAGATAATTCAGATCACTTAAAATTTAATGAGAAACATAATGCTGAAAATTACAAGCAATAAGAGAATGGAATTTGACAATTTAAGTTCAATTAATTCAATAAATTTATTTCTAAGAAACCATTTTTCATCAATAAATAAAATTATTGAATTAATTAGCAGTAAAGGCTAAAAAATAATAACGAAGAAATTCAATGCCAAATGATCAAAAAGTCAAATTTGTGATTTGTATCTAAGATTTTTCTTTCATTTTAATATTTTAAAAGAATTAGATTCATCATTTAAAAAAGTTACTTTAACTAGACTTTTTAATACGTTGTAAAACGTGTTACTTCATACGAGTAACATAGGTTTCTAATAATACATAAAAAGCTGATTATTAAATTTCCAATTTATAGACACTGTCACCTGCATACAAAATAAAATCTCATATGATTAAATATTGAAGCAACACACATAAAAGTTATTACTAATCTTATTCAAACGGTAATTAACGTTTTAAATATTTTTATAGTCTTTTGTTTATACCATTTAAAGTTCAAATAAGAAAATCACAAATAAACAAAGGTTAAGTTTTTGAGTTGGCACTCGTAATTTTATTCAAGGGTTTAGTTTTAATACAGTGCTGTGAGAAGCATTATTAAATAAAATACGTATTAATACGTCAAATCAATTAGAAGCAATAA